GCCACATTAAAGCGTAATAATTTTACGTTTCATGTTATTAATTCATTTACACAAATAGGTATGTACTATACATTGATATTTCATTACTATTAAATGAACACTTGCGAATGTAATATAAAGGGACGAAAGTGAACACTTGTTGGCACAATCAAGACAAGATCTTAAGAAAAGGTTTTTATAGTTAACCCAATTAAACAGCAGCTGAGTGATAAAAAAGAAGTCAATTATAATATAAAAAAAGTTTTATGGCTATTGGAACTGACAAACATACATAATATGTATCGACATTCTATATTGAATAGAAAAATCCTTCTTGATCCTCGAGTGAAACTCGAACAGGACCGGTTTTATTGATTTCATTTATTTTTATTGACGAATAATTTCACATTCGCAGATTATCAGATCAGTTGGATGATATTTTTAATCGAATTGTTTTCGTTATCTTACTTTTAGTCACAATTATTGTGTGCTTCTTCGGCTTCGCAATAACCGTGAGTAACCAACCCTCTTGTTTCTTGAGGGTTCTTCATTTGATTATCTTAATTTCTTTAACCAATTAAAAAAGACATGGTCAGTTTGAATATGAGTATACGGTTGAGGTTTTATAGGAAAAAAATTAAGGCATATTTTATTTCATTATTTTAGCATCTATGGAAATGTAATGAATAATTTTATGTGGACCACAAATTCCTCACCATCATCAGTCTGAAGTTCACTACTGGATATAACTTTCCGAGACTGCGCTATTTGGAATACATTTTCCGTACCTTTACCTAGCTAGTTACTCACACATTACAATCACCATTGAATTCCTAGCCTTAGGTACGGCTACTATTATTTTTATATAATATAAAATGTTACAACATTATAACTATCAGTAACATCACCTAATCAACAATCACGTAATCAATATATTTTTATTGTACAAGAGCAAAAATAGTATAGCACGCGCAAGAGATTTTTTTCAAACCACCTTAACGTAAAGGACTGCTACTATTTAGGAATGAAGAACAAGAAATTATAGTATATAACATATAGAAAGTTATTAACTAATTCTAAACGAACACTTACTTAATATAGTTGGTCTTACAATACTAACGGAGTAAACAGCTGGACATGGGTCTACCCCTTGTTTGGAGAATTTGCCTTAATTGATTAATAATCCCTTCCCGTTGCCAGTCAGGGTATTTGATGCCTATCGCGACATAATAACATCTTTCTAGCATTTCCCACAGTCTGAGAGCTGGCAATGAATTTTAAGAAATTCCTTTTAGCAAATTGAAATTGTGAAAAAATATATTTCGTCAATTGGCGAATACAGTCCCGCGAGTCTGAGCGTTTGCAGTAATTTCGTTACTGCGCAGTATATAACATTTGCGAAAAGAAATTCCAAAAAATTTTTTTTTGGCAACTTGATTTCTTTTTTATCTTTTAATTTGGTTTTTATATAATTCCAAAAAGTTAAACCAAACGTTTTTGTCGGTTATAAAGTATTACCTGACTTCTCCAATTATAAATTAAATTCTTGTTTTCGGATTTCGCATGTAAGTATGCGCATATATGACTATGTAAATCTCTCTGCATAGTTTGAATTATTTTTAATATTCAGAAACTAGCTAGAGTAGTACCTATGTTTAAGAATGGAGCAAAAGACTTAATAGTTAACTACCGTCCAATATCTATCTTATCAGCAATAGTAAAAGTACTTGAGTCATTAGTTAACTTTGTAATTTATCGGCATACTCAAAAATACTAATTAAATTAGGTAGTAATTGATGGCGAACAATTGAGGCTATTTGAAGCATTCTCAAGAGTACCCGTGGACTCGATTTTAGGACCGTTATTCTTTAACATCTTTGTCAATGACATAACACGTGTGATTAACCACAGCGATGTATATCTTTTTGCTGACGACCTTAAAATCACGATAATGGTTTAACAGCTTCAGACGCCCAACATCTCCAGGAAGACATTAATAATCTTCAGGAATTGTGTAACAATAATAAAATGTTCCTAATTCCTACGAAATGCTATCACATTAAGTACAACAGAGAACGTAATAAATTTCAGTCCAAATACACAATAGCAGGGAACAAGTTGGAAGATGTGACTATTCGAGATCTTGGTGTCATAATGGATAGCCATTTCAAGTTTTCGGACCATATGGACAAGATAGTTAGGAAGCAAATAGGTCACTAGGCTTTATATTGCGAAACTCAAGGGATTTTAAAAAACCAGCAATTGTCATTCACCTTTACAACATTTTTGTAAGGAGCAAACTCGAGTATTTCAACACAGTATGGTACTTATACAACTCACATAGACAGTATCGAAAAAGTTCAGAAGAAAGTAATTCGTAGCTTAACCCACCGTTTCGGTACTCCAAGAAATATCAAAATCTATAGTAAGAAAATTAAGGATTTTTAACAAGAGCCCCTTTTTTTACGCCGAAATCACTTAGATATGTCACATGCCCTTCGGCAAATTTTACAGAAGACTCAAGAGTACAATCTACCACTTTGCCTAGAGTATGTAGACTAAGAGAAAGTCTTTGATTCCGTCGAAATTTTGGCGGTGCCAAGTTGACTATGGGTATATAGAAGTTCTGAAGTGTTTGTACAGTAGGGCTACAATGGCTATCCGAGTACAGAACCAGAATACGAAACCTACCCAACTGCAGAAAGGTGTAAGACAGGGTGACGTTATATCCTCAAAAATCTTAAACGCAGCATTAGAAGACGTTTTCAAGCTACTGAACTGGAAAGGATACGGTATTAACATCATTGGCGAGTACATCACTCATCTTCGATTTTAATTATTATATTAATTTGTATAATAGGTATTTATTTATTTTAACTCCGCCGTTGCCGGTCCCAAGCCCGGATGAGAAAGGAGGAGGGGACGAATCCGCCGGAGAGAGTGGGTGTATCCGGTGGACTAACACACCCACCTGCGCTAGGACCTGCGCAGTCGAGCGCCGTACGCGGGGATGAAGGAGTCCTGGAGGGTTGAGCCGATCGTCGCTGGGGTATATAGTGGCGAGAGGCAACACGCCCTCTTTGGTCCGGATTTCAAGCTAAACGGTGGCCCTATCTGCTAGCCACAGATAGGGAAATGGCCAAGCGCCCCGTCAGAGGGTCGCAGGCGAGGGATGTGGGGGCTGCCTAGTCTTCCTGAAAAGGGGGCTGGGTGGTGGTAAAGGCCATGCTGACGGAGCAAGTGACAGTTTATTCGGGTGGTGGGGATGGGCCTTGTCAGCCCCATCTACCAGCTGGATCGAGCTCCCGATGTCGCGCTGTGAGCCAACTTCGCGTCCCTATATTCTCCCGGTAATCCTAACGCCTGAAATTCCTAAAGTAGGGCGTTCCCAAAGGTGCGGGCTCCATGGAGGGTGGGAAGCCGGGGGGATGAATTTTAAAAAACACAAATTATGGACAATTTAAGGCCCAATAAGAAGGAGGGAGAGGTGTCAGAGGTGCTTACCAGAGACACCAAAGAACAAAAGGGAACCGTCACTAAACCGACGGTTCCACGGACAGTACCGTCCAGCGTAGGTGCCCCCACCAAAGGGATAACCTCGCTGAACGTTTCCAAAACCAGTTCCAAGGAGCTGGAAGAGAAAGAGAAAAAGAAACAAGAGCCCGCAAGTGATAAAACTGCGGAGCCACTACGGACTGACGACCTTTTCTCTGCTGCCTGGCAAGTGGTGAGCCGTAAGGGGAAAGGCAAGGCACCCAAAAAGGTGACTTGCCGACCTGACGGACCATCAGGAGGGTCTATCCCTGCAGGCAGTAGTGGAAAGGCCAAAAAGAAGAACAAGAAGCAGCGGGAAAAAGGCCGTAGAGAACGAGCCGCTTTGGCTGCTTCAGATACCAAAACCAAGGAGGCTGGGCAAGCTACTGCGACTGAGGTGCTTGGCGCTGGAACCAGTAGCCGCGCTGAAGCTGGGAAGGATAAAAATCCAGCCCAAGTGGAAGTCGCGGACGCGGGAACCAGCTCTAGGATATCCGCCAGGAAGCAGCGAGCGGCCAAGCGTCCTGGGAAGAAGGAAAGAGCAGCCAAAAGGATGCTGGAAGAGTCCACCTCGCCTAGAGGTGAACACAAAAAAGTGAGACTCGAACAGCAACCAAAGACTGCAAGAACGAGCTACGCTTCCGCTGCTAAAGCAGATTTGGGTGTGGCCTTAACGTGTGCGCGTTCAGGTCACATTACGAAGGAAGTAGCAGACGACATCCTCGTAGCAATACAGAGGAAGATGATCAGCGAGGCCTGGAGTAGCCAGGACCCTGATGCGTCGGGCCCAGTTTTTAGGGGCAAACCCGTTTATACGGAAGGTGTCCTGAAACTGTGGTGCGACGATCAGAAGGCTCTGGACTGGTTGAAGGGGAACATTGCTACCCTCGACCTTAAATCCAGCACCTTGCTGACAATAAAGAAACAGTCAGAGATACCACAAAGAGTCAAATGTGGTATCCTTATCCCTGATGCCCAGGGGGCCTGGAAAGACTCACGCGACATTGGTCGCGTGTTGGCGTACCAGAACCGCTGGGTTAACATCAGGGACTGGCTGTTACTCAAGGCAGATAAGCAGACGGACGGGTGGTTCCTCGTTGTTTCGGTGCCGGAGGATCATATCCCGACCCTGATGAAGGCCGGACGCCGTCTCGCATGTGTATGCGGGGCGGTATACGTAAAATTCCAGGGTCGTGGAGGCAAATTCTTTGATACTCCACCGAGCAAAGAGGTAGAAAACAACCCGGAAGTTATGGATACCGAAGCCATAGTTACCGGTACAGCGGAATCACTGGAGGCCAAGTCCAGTGAAGAAACGGCCTGCACAATTGAGCCGAAGCCCCCAGTGGAGATTGGGCTCAGCGGCAGCTCACTGAGTGACGAGGAGGACTGCATTTTGCCGACCACCTCCGACTCGGTGGCTGACGATGAGACCCGAGATCTGCTGGCAGGCCTATTTTTGGGCGGGGACGGGGAGGACGCGATCAATGATGGCGTGCCCTTCGTCCAAAACTAGCCTAGTGCAGGCCAACCTCCACCACAGCGAAACTGCGTCGGCTCAATTACGCAAGTGGTTGGAGGTTCAAAGGACTGCCATAGCCTTAATCCAGGAGCCATGGGTTGGGGCTGGTAAAATTAAAGGCCTAAACAACCTAAAAGGTAAGTTATTCTACAGCTCTGAACACGACAAGCCTAGAGCGTGTATTTACACTACTAAAGATATCTGTGCACAACCTTTAACAGATTTCTGTTCTAGAGACATGTATGCCGTAGCAATACAGTACACACAGGAGAGTAGATTAGTCGTCGCCTCGGTCTACATGCCGGAGGAAGACACTCCTCCACCTCATGACCTCAGCAGGCTGGTGAACTTCTGCGAGAGGACCGGACTAGAGGTTGTGATCGGGACGGACTCCAACGCACATCATCCCCTTTGGGGAATGGAAAAACCAAATGAACGAGGTAAAGTTTTAGTTGAATATTTATTTAGTACTAACCTAACCATTTTAAACATAGGTTCTGAACCTACTTTCATAAACAAACGCTGTCGCACTATAATCGACCTCACACTTGCAACAGAAGGAGCAGCCAAACTAATTACGGGATGGCATGTGTCGAGAGAGGCCTCATGCTCAGACCATAGATGGATCTGCTTCGCACTACAGGTCGATATCCCCTCTACACCACCATGGAGAAATCCCCGCAAGACAGATAAAACTAAATACCTAAATAGGCTGACGTCTTTGCTAGCGGATTTTGAGGGGATAAATACTATAGCAGATCAGTCGCTCCTAGAAGAACAGGTAGCAGCTGTTACTAAGGCCATGATAGACAGCTACCATGAATCATGTCCAGAAATCACTCCACCAAGACATGCCGAGGTAAAACAACCGTGGTGGGGTAAAGAACTCGATAGAAAACGTAAGAAGGTAAGAAAAGCTCTAAATAGGGCCATGAATACCTCAATGGATGAAGACTGGCTATTATATAAGAAAGCTAAGTCTGAATACAAAAAATGTATCAGGTATCGACGCTCGATTGGGTGGCGTAAATTCTGTGGCAACATAGAAACCTGCAAACAAGCAAATAGGATTAGGAATATTCTAGCTAAACAGAACACGTCGGGATCCATGTCTCTAAAGAAACCCGACGGTAGCTACTCAACATCGCCGGATGAAGCCCAACGCATCCTAATTGAAACGCACTTCCCAGGTTGCTGCGTAACCCAGGAGGCAAACCGGCATGACGACATACTGACATCAACAGCAGAAGACTGGAATTTAGCACAGAGAGTGGTAACGATGGACAAAATCCATTGGGCCATTCACAGTTTCCTCCCCTATAAGGCGGCAGGACCTGACGGCATATTCCCGGCACTCCTACAGTGGGGGGGGGTAAAGCCCTAATAGTCAGACTTGCTGCCATAATGCGAGCCTGTCTTGCTCTTAAATATGTTCCTAGGGGATGGAGGGAAGTGAAAGTTACATTCATACCCAAACCAGGTAAGAGCGACTACACTGACCCTAAATCCTACAGGCCCATTAGCCTCACATCCTTTCTCCTAAAGACGATGGAGAGGATGTGTGAAAGGGAATTAAGGGGGTCCGCGCTAATGAACTTACCACTACACGACAAGCAACACGCCTACAGTCTAGGCAAATCAACAGAATCGGCCCTTCATAAGGTAATTACAAAGATTGAAGAGGCCATCCAAAACAAAGAAATATGTCTAGGTTCCTTCATAGATATAGAAGGTGCTTTTGACCGAACGAACTTCTCCAGCATAAAAGGTGCACTCGGTAGACACAAAGTTGAACCGGCACTGATCGACTGGATAGTTTACATGCTCAGTACACGAATAATAAAGATTGCTGGTGAATCTCAACCAATCCAAATTAAGAAAGGCTGCCCGCAGGGTGGGGTTCTCTCACCTCTCCTGTGGAATATGGTCATTAATGAACTCATCAGCAAATTAAATGACAATCACTTCTATACAGTAGGTTATGCTGATGACCTGACAATACTGGTCTCTGGAAAGACAGCAAGCATAGTGTGCGACCTGACCCAAGCGGCTCTCCGTATAGTGGAGAGATGGTGCAGGGAACACGACTTAACTGTCAATCCAAATAAAACGGTTTTAGTTATGTTCACACAAAAACGAAAGCTGAATAACTATCATCCTCCAAGTCTTTTTAGCACAAAACTCCAGCTATCCTCTGAGGTAAAATATTTAGGTCTTACCTTGGACAGCAAACTTAACTGGAATAAACACATAGAAAACAAAATCAACAAAGCTAGTATAACTTTCTGGCAATGCAGAAACATGATTGGCAAAAGATGGGGATTGACGCCAAAAATCATACTGTGGCTTTACAAAACTGTAATTCGGCCCATGATCACATACGGCGCTCTGGTATGGTGGACCAAGACAAATGAAGCCACCATAATTAAAAAGCTTCAGCGCTACCAGAGACTGGCATGTATGGCTGCTACAGGCTGCATGAGAACTACGCCAACAGCAGCCTTAGAAGCGATGCTGGAGCTAACTCCGCTTCATCTACATATACAACAAGAAGCGACTTTAGCTGCCATCAGACTCAAGACCCTAAATCTTTGGAGTAAGAATAGTGTCCCTCATACAGGCATAATTGATAGAATTCACTCAAAAATTCCTATCCTACAAGCCAAATACGATAGGATTCCTAAACAATTTGTTTTCGATAAGAAATACAAGATACAGTTAAATGAAAACAGCCAGCCGGAAGGATTAAGCCCAAAAGAGCTTAGAATTTTCACCGATGGTTCTAAAACAAATGAAGGTGTAGGTTGTGGAGCTTTCTCTGAAGACCTCAATATTCACATATGCACACCGCTGGGTACCTATAACACGGTCTTTCAGGCGGAATGTATGGGTATCATTCAAGCGGCCATAGCAATAGATGCTAGGAAGGTTAATGACTTCCCCATCAGAATACTGACCGACAGTAGGGCGGTACTCCAAGCCCTGAGATGCAATGTGGTGAACTCGGGACTAATATATGAATGCCATCAACGATTAAATGAGGTATGTAAAAACAACAATGTGACCCTGCAATGGATAAAGGGACACAGTGGATCCAGAGGCAACGATGCAGCAGACGAACTTGCCAGAAGAGGATCGGCTTTGGCCACTATAGGGCCGGAACCGATCATACCAATCCCCTTTGGTAACGTTTGTTCACTGGTACGTAGACACTTTACTAATCAACACGCTCAGCTTTGGAAAAATCTAGTAGACTGTAGACAAGCTAGGGATGCCCTGCCTGAAATTAACAGTCGCTTAACAAAAGTTTTTATGAGACTGAACAAGCCGCAGATTAGGATAGTAACAAGTGCTATCACAGGACACGGCACCTTTAACAAACATTTATTTACTATAGGTGTTACAGATAGTCCCCTGTGCAGGGCATGTATGGGGGAGGAAGAAACGGCGGCCCACGTGCTACTGAAATGTCCGGAGGTCGCTACATACAGGGCTAAACATCTCGGCACGCCGGGATCACTCCCCGAAGTTGCATGCAACATCAAGGGCCTGTTGAGCTTCTTCGGAGAGATCTCATGGCTCGAATAATCACATTATTCCTGCCTACACGCAAAATACGCGCATAGACGTGGAGTTGCGGAAAACAGCCCGTCGTAAACTAAACTAAACTAACTAAACTAGGTATTTATTTTAATCTTGTAAGGCTTGGGCTTGGTAAAAAATATGTGTTGAAAGTTACCGCCCCATCTTCTTAAAAAGGGACAATATGTATATAAAGTGCTTACCGCCGGAGATGAAGGTCGAAAAAATAACAAGTTGCACGTTCTCTACAGCCGTAACATTTTTCACAGTGATGTGGTACAGATATAGATGACTTTTACTTTTACTGTTGAACTATTAGGTGTAGTTATGTATGAGCTATTGTTTTGGCCAAATATAGGCATTTGATACGCAGTCCAATCACGTACGACTTAGTGAATCGCCCGATGGTGTTAGGTGTCACGCGAGTCGCGGGAAGGGGGCAGCGGTAGGCAGCTTCCCAGCGTTTGGCGCTGGTGGGCGAGAGACTGTAGCTCGGGGGCAGCGGTGCAGTCAATTAGCGTATTTCGGTGACCGCTGCAGATGTTTCGCGCGACCGGTTTTTGGGTTATGGTCTAGATTTTTAGAATTTGTGCGCGTTACTTCGCTACGTAATTGTGGTTTCGTGAAAACCGCCTCGGTTTAGTTTGTCTAAGTTTTAACTAGGTTGATTTTGAATTCTTATTGCGGCGTACTATTTAATATCGAACGAAGCAGTTTAGTTGTTGTTTGTAACGCTGAACTTTGTGACTCATGCAGAGATCGCGTTAGTTCCCTATTTGTAATTTGGTGATAAATGAATCCGGAACCTTGAATATTGAACTTTGGACTACTGTTCGTTACTTGTGTTAGGTGCCACGTGTTTGATTTCGATGAACGTCGGATTTAGTTGAGTCTGAAGTTAGTTAAATGTACAATAAAGTTGATGGATTTAAATAGTGTACAATAAAGTTGATAGACTGAAATAGTGACATGAAGAAAGAAATTGTCCATTGGTGACGCCTGCTGGAGTGATGCAGCTTTATGGGGCAGCATGGAAACCGCCCGCTGCCTGGTCACCTCAGCTGGGCCAGGTCACCTACATTTACACACTAACAAACACTATTTTACATGTACCTACCCTACCAACGGCCTGACCGAGACTTGGGGCAGTTTTAGATTCGGATCCAAGTACGTACTATTTATTTTCCTAGCCTTCTCCCTATTGTGTAGTATGACAGGTAATTTGTCCATAAGACCATTTGGGCCCGAACCCTCGGCTGCCCGTCGAGGAGGCTACTATAGACCTTAGCCAAGGCGACCTTTGCAGGGGCAGTTGTGGGCCGTAGCAGCTATATTTTTGAAGTGTTTCTTTAAATTCATTCGGTAGTTTTGTGTGGAAGAGTAACAGACATCCATACATCCATACATCCTCACAAATTTTTACTTTTATAATATTAGTTGGATTCAAATTAATCATTTCTTATGAATTACTATTAAAACTGAAAAAATCAGAAACTAAGCCACGGTCATTAATTGCCAAAAGCACCTTCCCAAAATTCGTCGTCAGCTCTCAGACTACCATGTTTCATCCAGTTATTTCACATTTATTATCAAATTCCATATTTAAATTTTAGTTCTCATATTTACACGTCTTTTTTGTAACAGATCTAATTTTAACCTAAGACTTATTGTAAGCTACTTTTTGTAATAAGTCTCAATAATTTCCCAATTAGGCTGAATAAGTTCACTAAATAACATGAAAACTTTTTTCTTTTAGATATCACATGGAGTTTTAGAGAAACTAAATGATTTTACCGGCGTTTTAGGTCTATTGTTTCCAACGTACATATTGTGTTACTATAGTGAATTATTAACATCTGAGGCATGTATAAGCTGAATACCTTTTATCTTTGAATTATGAAATTTTGCTGATAATTATTAATTGTTTTACTGATGTTATTATACCATAACTAAAACAAAGCTGCAGTGCTGTCACTGGCTACAATAAACTAAGACAGTACAAAAGTACAAAGTTTTTATATATATATAAAAACTTTGTACTTTTTACTTTTATACTAGCTTTACTTTTATAGTATATATATATATATATACTATAAAAGTAAAGCAATGACTTTGAATAAACCTAAAATTTACGAGTTCTATGGCTTCTTGCAACCTACTACAACTACTATTACTGTGGTGAATCTGTCGCATTTGTGATGCTACCACCAAAGTTGAAAAAATCAACGTTTATTCTCGTAATGAACATAACTTGTATAAACATTCTGATACTCCCCAATGCTCCTGCTCATGACTACACATCTCACACTGCTAATCTTCCCCATAGATTGCCTCATAATGCTGCCATAATTGCTACGCTTGGCAGGCGGGTTGGCGACAGTAGCTTCCATTTTAGTTGTTATTATGAAAATTCTGGTGCCCATTTCCTATTTCATTTTCCTTTGTAGCCTTTTAACACATCCACGGGAACGTCGACGGGGTGCAATACTAAAGATGCAAGACGTTTGGTAGATATCGTATAATTTAAAACTACATGCGGCTTTTTTGCGTCATATTTACCATATTGAGTATCATAAAGTCCAAATCTGCGCGCTTTATCTTTTGTGTTTTAGTAGACTTTAGCGGTTTTTTTTCCATGACAAATGAGATATAATCTACGAAAAGAGATAGGCGCGTGCAGTTTAAAATTCTATCTATTTCTATTTTCTCAATCTCTACTACTATCGCTATTTATCGGTGATTAAGATAAATCTTCCATTGGCTGAGGAGAGGATAAAAGTACTTCCACGGTTTATCTGATGGTAAATGGATGCTCTGGCTCCTACATCTATCATTAATGAAAAATCCAAATGGTGGCAAAACTTTGCTTTGTACGTACGAGTATACGCTACGGACATCCGAAGATATACGTTTAAGTTTCCTTTTACGTTATATTTACGTGACGTTTAATTTATGCTTACGTTACGATTACTTTACGTTTACGTTATTTTTACGTTACGTTTGCGTTATTTTTACGTTATGTTTACGTTCCACTTACGTTACGTTTACGTTAAGTTTACGTTGCCTTTTTATCAATATTGGATCTACATATTATGTACAGTCACTGATAATTTATCTCTATGGGTACTGACTGATACCTTATTAGATGGACATTTACTTTTGTTGTATTAATTTTGTTGTTTAAATGTACTAAAAACATAATATATTTATTATTTATTACCACTTTATTACACTCGTCTTAAAATAAAGGACAGGACAGCTTTATTTATTTAGACATTCTCTTCTCAACGTCAAGTTTAATATAAATATAATGGAATATTTAAAATATATATTCAATTATATATAACTATATTATTAACTTATATAAAACATTAATAATATAACAATGTGGTCGTTATGAAATGTCTAAGCGTGACTCTGAATGAATGGGTGAGAAATTGTATGATAAGAGAAAATAATGGTTTGCAAGAAGAATTTGGGACCAGGATTAACTGAGGAATACTTCATAATTTAATTTTAAACACATATTTAGCTATCTAACATCTATCCGTTTTCAGAGTTTGCGTATAGCTGATGCGGCGTACGAAAATTTGTGGCCGGATAGGGACGTTTCTTATCAAAAAACTATTCTAATGATTATAAGACGGTTATTATAGCCAATTACGATTATGATTTTTTATATATTATTATGTCATTTGTTGTAACAAGTTAAATTTATTTTTCCAGTTCACAAAAACCTTGTTGCCTTACATCGATTAAATACGTGCCCATCAATTTAAATACTTTTACCAAGGTAATTTTAAAATAAGGTAGAAGGTAAGCAAAAAAAAAACACTAATGGCTTCTTCTTTAAGATTAAGTTTTTAGCGGCAGAAAAGAGTCGACCGTGCTATCCCACTGCATGTTGGAAGAATTCACAAGTTGTCTAAATATTTTGAAATTTCTTAGATATGTAAATGTTTTCCTTTACCGTCTAAAATTACTTTGAGAACTGAAATAAGTTTAACACTTTAAATCACAATTGATAATTGTCTATGCTGTCTGTGGTAATCGAACTCAGTTTGCACACGACCTATATATGAAGTTTTAAGGCGAGCTTACCCACTAAGCTATCACAGCACAAATTGAATGCGATGCGACATAGGTTGAGCTTTACTCTCGACTTGACATGTCCACTACTAAATAAAACTGAAGCTTTTATTTTAGTTTTGCACCTACATACTCGTACTTTATATTTGTTATGACATAATTCGAATGTTTTATTTTTAAGTCGCCGTCCGTTAATCTGTAGAAAAAAATACTATGTTTCCAAGATAATTCGCGGACAATTTTTTTATAGGATCATGGTGAGACACGAGCACACAATTCACCTGATGGTAAGTGGGAAAAAAAGGACTAAGATGGAATGCCTCGTGTCTAGTAAATAGGGTCTTGGACGAAACGACTTAAATAATTTTCGCTATTTTTAGAATCATGCAATACCGATTCCTTTATAATATCACTAATGTTCAACTTACTGTTTTCAATTAAAATAAAATCGCTGTTACTAAAACCGGTAATTTTACATACAAACAAAAGATTTCTCAAATGGAAAATCAGTGTTGCTAGTGGAACACGGAATATATTTTAAGTATTATTGAGGGTTTTTAATCAGTTACCTAGACGTGTTTGTATAAATTTGGCTTAAACAAAGAAACTTGTATTTTTAATACAAATTGTCTGTGCTTAACTATTAAGAATTATATTTGAATTGCAAATAACGAAAAATACAATAACACAATAATACAATAGGTATTTTTCGTCTTTTAGTAAATTGAATGATAATTACGTACACGTATAGAAGATGTAAAATAAAATTTAGTATTCTTAGGGTTAATCCTATCCTATCTAGATAAACTTAAAAAGTAAAATACCATCTAAAACAAAATTTTATCCAAATTGTTAGTGGTATCAGCCTTCTTAGCGTTGTGGGGAAACTGTATGCTAAGGTACTAATTGAAAGAGTTAGGAAAGAAACTGATGGAAAAATTTGGGATGTGCAAGCGGTATTTAGAAAGGGAATGGGATGTACGGATCAGGTCTTTTCCATGCGCATGATCGCGGAGAAGTTTTTGGCCAATAACCAAAAAGTTTTTTGTGCGTTCATAGACTTAGAGAAGGCTTATGACAGAGTGGACAGGGATGTGTTATGGCAAACACTGAACTCATTTGGGTTGACCGCTGGTCTGATACAGGCATTGAAGTCTCTATATAGGGACTCTAGTGCTTGTGTCAGGATCAACGGGGCCTACTCGGACTGGTTTGGCATCCATAAAGGTGTCAGACAGGGCTGTATGCCTTCCCCGTGGTTGTTCAACCTATTTATGGACAGTTGTTTGGAAAATTTGAAAGTAGAAGAATGCGGGTTATGAATGGGTGAGTTAACCGTCAAATGCCTTTTGTACGCCGATGATCAAGTCATACTTGCATCGTCGGCAGCCGAGTTGCAAATGATGGTTACATTAATGAACAGGACATTAAAAGAAAAGGGAATGAAATTGAACGCAAATAAGACGAAAGTTATGGTTTTTGAAAGAGAAGACAGCAAAACGTTATGTGAAATAAGAATAGAAGGGGAGTTGGTAGAGCAAGTAGATGAGTTTGTATATTTGGGATGTGTGTTTAGCAGGGATGGTAGATATGATAAGGATATAGAACGACGAGTGAATGCAGGAAATAGAGTGAATGGGGCTCTACACTCTATTGTCAAAAGTCAGAATGTGTCCAAAAAGGCACGTATGGCAATTAAAAATGCTGTGTTAGTACCTACTTTAATGTATGGTAGTGAAAGTTGGGTGTGGCAGAAGAAGCATGAGAGTAGAATAAATGCTGTAGAAATGCGGTCATTAAGGAGTATGTTAGTGATGAAGCGGAATGACAGAGTGAGACATTGTTTAATAAGAGAAGAGTGTGGTTTGCAAGATGATGTTGTGACCAGGATTAAGAAAGGAATGCTTCGGTGGTTTGGCTATGTAGAAAGAATGAATGAGGAAAGAGTGACAAAGCAAATCTATGTTGCAGAGGTGAACGGCATAGTCGGGAAGGGTCGCCCTAGGCGAAAATTTATCGACCAAATTGGCGATATATTAAAAATGGGCCATATCAAGAGTACCTTTAACCGACAAGCGTGTATGCGTAGGTATATGGATGTGGAGGAAGCGAAAGAGGTGTGTCAGGATCGTGCCAAATGGAAGTCCATAATCTCTGCCTACCCCTCTGGGTGACAGGCGTGAGTGTTTATGTTATGTATGTATGTTGTTAGTGCCGTTCCTGTGAAACCAATAACATGCTAGTATATACAATTATGTATATTTAATTTTTTACAAGAATTGCCCGCTTAAAGTACAAATATTTTATCTGTATTTGCCATACGGTACTAATTTTTCAAAAATTTTATGGATTACAGGTTTTGAGTACGACGTGGTCATACTTTTCTTTAGCTACATCGATGTACTCGGAAAATGAATAAGTATCAACAAGATTATCGACAATAGCAAGAAAAAAAGCAGGATAAAAATCACGAGCACTATTATTCTTAAAAAAAGCAGCTATTTTTAATCTTTAAAGTACCTAAATTATATTTTAAGATGCTTATAACCCCTTGCTATAAACATATTAAAGAGTTTGTCAACTATCTATGAAAAATTAAACTTTGTCTTTGTTTTCTTGTTGAGTTACCACACGTTTGATTGGAAGATCCTAATCTCTTAATAAAAACCCGTAAATATGACCAATGTCATAAATGTGAAATTACATAATATATAGTTGGAATGTTTGAGCGAGAGAACGAGCAAGAGACAAAATATTTAATAATTCATTCACGCGATAAAACGATATAACTTGGCGATCGAAAGTTTGATTGGGCGGTTGGTAGGCGGATTGACGATCGCAAAATCAGATGTCTCGTACTTTTCAACACTATTTTCTGGAAACAAATAGTTTCGGCACTAAAGCTTGCAACTAAAATGTTGTAGCAGTCTGCAATTAAAATACTAGAGGTTTTATGATTTATTTTTATGGTGCTTTTGATTTTCATTAGGCATTTTATCATCATTATCATCCATACAGCCCTTCACAAGTCCACTGCTGAACATAGACCACCCCCAAGGAATGCCACAAAGCACGTTCCTGAGCTACCTGCATACATCGACTTCCTGCATGTCTTACCAGGTCGTCACTCCATCTAGTGGGGAGTGGCCTAACACTTCACCTATCGGTATGAGGTTGCTACTCAAGAACCTTTTTTCCCATTGCTCGTCGGTTTTTCGAGCTCTATGTCAGGCCCATTGCCACTTCAGCTTACTAATCTGTTTGGGTATATTGGTCACTCTGTTTCTACTGCGGATATCCTCATTTCTAAGCTTATCCTGCAAAGAAACCTCAAAGCATAACCCTCTCCATAGCTCGGTTAGCGACCTTGAGCGTCATCATAAGGTCAGCAGTGAAGGACCACATCTCAGATCCATTCGTCATCACTGGCAACACACACTGGTTGTACAATCTCGTTTTCAGGTTTTGAGGTATACCAGCGGTGAAGAGTTTTAGGGATATAACGTCACCATTTCTTACGCCTCTCTGCAGTTGGATAGGTTTCATAATCTGGTTTTGTACTCAGATAGCCACCGTAGCCCTACTGTAGAAATACTTCAACAATTCGATATACTGACAGTCAACTTGGCACCACTGAAGGGACTGTAGCACTGCCCAAATTTGGCGCAATCATAGACTTTTTCATAGCCCATATACGCCCGATGTGACTGTACTAAAGCTTTTTCAGAAACTGGCTTGTTCGGGAGGCTGGAAGTCGTCGAGACTGCATGTGATACGATTTATAATGAGTCTTAAAAACAGCACGTACACGCAACTCAGAAGGGAAATCGGTATGTATTTCTTCAAAAGAGCGTTGTCACCTTTCTTGAAGAACAAGACCACCGCACTTCTGTTCCACCCCTCCGGAATACTCCTACCATGGAAGGCGGAATTAACGAGCTTCTGGAGGACTTCAAGTACCGGTTTTCCAGCCACTTTTAGAAGCTGCGCTCTAACTCCATCCTCGCCTGGGGCCTTGCCAATATGAAAGTGCTGGAGAGCCTCTCTAATCTTGCTCAGACTGACGATCGGGATATCATCATCTTGGATTGTTACTCACAGTTGCGTGTGGCTCCAACGATGATGGGTACAGCAGCCCATAGAACCTCTCAATCTCACTCAAAATCAGAGGTGCCCCGGAAACGATGCTGCCACACTCGGTTATCAGTTTTGACAGTTGGCTCTTTCTGGCAGACAGATCTCCGATCTTCCGAGGTTGGTGGACCTGTATGACCTTCAACGAATACCGTTTGATAGATTCTGAGTATAAAGTACGCAACCCTCATCTACACACTCACAATCTTTACTACGTTGTTAACGAGAGACTTGAGGACTATAAATGCGACACCTCCTTGGGATAAATGGTTGCCCTCCCGGTGATCCTCTCTCCCGATGTGTTCTCATCAGGTGTACATCCCTCTCTTCGAACCTCAAATAATCCTATTATATCCCAGCGTAACTTGTCTATCTCTTCTTCCAGCTACAGGAACTCTTCGTCAGTCAGTCTTCGTCCTCAGTGTGCGTGCGTTGTAGGTACCGAGGTCCAATCGTTTTAGGTGGCAACCGAAAATCCACCGGAGATTCTTAGCACCCCCTGTCCCGCCGTTACCATGGTCGCCACCATAGCCAGGAATGACGAGGCCACCGGGGACTGCGGGCTGTGTCTTCGTAACTTTCATAATGGGGGGGTTTGCCATAGTTGCCATGCTTGTCGAGCGGGTTGTCAACCGCAGTTTTTTATTTTACTATTGCTGTTATCAGCAATATGCTGCTGCCCATCTCCTTCCTGTTTCCCACTATCGTTTCTTACGACACCCATGGGAAGATATGGAGGAGTGGATATTATTAACCGCCACTACATGGCCAATTAGGTTCTTATGACAATAAATAAAAGTTTTCATTAAAAATATATATTATCCAAATGCCACGTCGATTTATGGATAAAAAGGCTACACAAAACAAAATCTCAGCAAGCATACTTAAGCGAAGTTTTCTCATTTTTCTTACCAAAACAAAACAACACTTTCGTTCAAATTCCTGTGGCTATCTATTTTTGTTTATTCAGATTCACCTTTTGTAAATTTATATATTTTATACTATTGTATCTTTATATATAAAAATCAAATGCTGTCCATTAGTCACGCAAAAACTTGAAAACAACAGGCCCGATTTTGATGATTTTATTGTGTATTTTTGAATGGGTACCTAAATGGTTTAGAATCCCATTTGGATCCTAGTAATTAATATATAATCTATGCGAGATTTATATCTTAGGGATTTTCATCAAATAGCTAATAGTACAAGGTCTGTTTTATCGACGGAGAAGCGCTCATAACTCCTAACTTACATTTTTTTTAAAAACTACTTATGAATGCAGTTTGATAGAGAATGAATTGCGCGTCTACTGGTATGTGAATTAAGTTGAAATTCGCAAAATTGACGTGGCTAGGCACTGAAGAAATATCTCCTATATTCACAACCGGATAAATTATGGCAGAAAATATATTCTAATTGAAATTGAAATGAAGTTACGAGATGTTTCCATTAGCAATAGAAACATCTCGTAACTTCAATTCAAATAAAACTTTAAGCTAATATCTCCTATCTTCATGCGCAAGTACAGAGTTTTCGCTCTAGAGCAAGAAAAAAACGGTGCGTATATCGCAATGTGAAAGGGACAGGATTTTCATTAGCCGGTGCAACGACGTGCGTGACGTCAGTGAGTGCGGTGTATTTAATCTTGCAGTGATGAGGAGTTTGAGTTCGTAAGTAGATTGCGACTGGATTAGACGGTAATAAAAACAAAGTTATCTTTTTTTTTCTTTTAAAAGAAATAAGTAAGTGATTCTAATAGTATTTAGTTTTATTAAATACTTACCTGTTCCATTTTTACTTGACTTAGGTTTGTAAGCATTAGAAATGAAAAACTTTATGTATATTCTCATAGTTCATAGGCGATAAGACCATGGGAATTCAGCGTTGAAGAGTTTCGGGGATATAACGTCACCATGTTTTACACCTCTCTGCAGTTGGATAAGTTTCATACTCTGGTTTTGTACTCGGATAACCATCGTAGCCCTACTGTACAAACGCTTCAGCACTTCAATATACCGACAGTCAACTTGGCACCGCTGAAGGGACTACAGAATCGCCCAAATTTCGACGGAATCAAAGGCTTTCTCATAGTCCACCCACGCAAGGCAAAGTGGCAGATTATACTCTTCTGTTTTCTGTACAATTTGCCGAAGGGTGTATGTGTGGTCTATGGTACTAAAGCCATTTCGGAAACCGGCTTGTTCAGGAGGCTGGAAGTCGTCAAGTCAATCAAGAGATGATTCGTAATGACTCTCGAAAAAAGCACGTAGACGCGGCTCAGAAGGAAAATCGGTCTCGTCAGACGGAAATCGTCGGTCCGACGATATAGTCCTTATGGCAGAACCGCTGGAGGATAGGATAGGAGGATATGATCAATGACCTCAATAGTGTCTACCAACGGATAGATCTTAAGATAAACATGGAGAAAACAAAGATCATATTTAATGTCCATGTCACACCTATGCCGGTAGCTGTTGGGAGCACTAAGCTCGAAGTGGTTGACGAGTATGTTAACATTCTGTTTGAGTAATGACTCGGCGACAGTTGGAGAAGTATTCAATGACTCGGTTGTCAAGATAGGAATATCAGTGAAATATTTCTCAAACACCGCTGTGACTTCTTGATTTAATTTAGTCAATTCATTGTTAATTTTTAATTGATAGTTTGAGTTACGAGCAGGGGCGTAGCTACCGCCGTATCAGCCGTATCAATGATACGGGGCCCCCGGGCTACAGGGGCCCCGAACGTGTATAACCAAAAATTCTAAGGACTTCTATGGGACAGGAATTCAATATAAATAATTATTTTATTCAATGCGAGCGTTTTTGCTCTTTTTGTGAAAAATCTGCACTTTTCATTTGGGGCCCTCAATCAATTGATTATTTATTTCAATGCAAGCGTTTTTGTTGCTTTTGTGAAAAATCTTTACTCTTCATTTGGGGCCCCCAATAAATTTTGATACAGGGCCCGTCTAAGGCACGCTACGCCACTGGTTACGAGGTTTGTCTTTACCGGTTTCATTGTTAATTATACTAAACGTCATTTTAATTTTATTATTAGCCGTCTTAATTTTGTTGCCAATATGTACGATTTGGCTGTGGAGCAAACTCTTTTAAACATTTTAGAATAATTTTTAACACATTTTTTAAAAGCATCGGAAATATTATATGATCTTTCATGGTAAAGGTCATATAACCTTCGTCTTCTTTTATGAATTCCTACTGTTTCCCACTCATTAAATGCCTTGCGACTGTTTCTGGAGAATGTTTTAGAAGTAAATGTTTT